CTATCTGTATGTCTGTCTGTCTGTCTGTCTGTCTGTCTCTGTCATCTGTCTGTCTGTCTGTCATCTATCTGTCTGTCTGTCTGTCTCTATCTGTCTGTCTCTGTCATCTATCTATCTGTCTGTCTGTCTGTCTCTGTCATCTGTCTGTCTGTCTCTGTCATCTATCTGTCTGTCTGTCTGTCTCTGTCATCTGTCTGTCTGTCTGTGTCATCTATCTGTCTGTCTCTGTCTATCTGTCTGTCTGTCTGTCTCGGTCATCTATCTGTCTGTCTGTCTCTGTCATCTATCTATCTGTCTGTCTGTCTGTCTCTGTCATCTGTCTGTCTGTCTGTGTCATCTATCTGTCTGTCTCTGTCTATCTGTCTGTCTGTCTGTCTCGGTCATCTATCTGTCTGTCTGTCTCTGTCATCTATCTATCTATCTATCTATCTATCTATCTATTTGTCTGTCTGCCTGTCTCTATCTGTATGTCTGTCTCTGTCATCTGTCTGTCTGTCTGTCTGTCTCTGTCATCTATCTGTCTGTCTGTCTGTCTCTGTCATCTGTCTGTCTGTCTCTGTCATCTATCTGTCTGTCTGTCTGTCTCGGTCATCTATCTGTCTGTCTGTCTCTGTCATCTATCTATCTGTCTGTCTGTCTGTCTCTGTCATCTGTCTGTCTGTCTCATCTATCTGTCTGTCTGTCTGTATCTGTCATCTGTCTGTCTTTCTCTCTCATCTATCTGTCTGTCTGTCTGTCTCTGTCATCTATCTGTCTTTCTGTCTGTCTGTGTCGTCTGTGTCTGTCTCTGTCATTCATCTATCTGTCTGTCTCTGTCATCTATCTGTCTGTCTGTCTCTGTCATCTATCTATCTATCTGTCTGTCTGTCTGTCTGTCTGTCTGTCCTATCTGTCTGTGTCATCTATCTATATATCTGTCTGTCTGTCTCTGTCATCTGTCTGTCTGTCTCTGTCATCTATCTGTCTGTCATCTATCTATCTGTCTATCTATCTGTCTGTCTGTCTCTGTCATCTGTCTGTCTCTGTCATCTATCTGTCTGTCTGTCT